CGCGTTCCTCAGCCTCTGCTGATTTTACCTTTTCACCTCCTTGTGTTGTATTTGGGTCTCAGTGACTCCTGCTGTTGCCTGAGTCTCGGGCACACAGTATTTCCTGCGAAGTCTGTTTCTGACCTGAAATTCGCTCTTGTTGCCAGATATAACCTAATAAAATTCCGAGTTGTGTTCTCAGCCGATGTTTGAAGGTTTTTATGCTTTAAATCTAATATCTCAAAATTTAATTATCATATTTTGTTATTAATTGGTTATTTTATAAAAGTGGCTCTAAAAAGTTCGGGTCCCTGTTAGAAATAGTACCTACTTATTTCATCTTTCATGATCATTTTTTTTTGCTTCCCACATTGCCTCCTGTGCCTCAAGTGTCTGATGCTTCTCCCCAGCCCAGCGTGAGTGACCTTTAATCTCTCAGTTGGCTCCCACCTGAGCCCATTAAGAAGCTCAGCGCTCCCTCCCCCTCCCACTCACTTCCTTCCCAAGAGCTCCGGAGGCCTCCCTTCCTCTCCTCCTCGTGGTTCCTTGTTTTTGGACTCAGTATACTTTCTGTTCAGCAGCCAGTTTTTGCTACTCCCTCCATCCTTGTTTGCTCCTTCAGATCTGACTACTGGTAATCTCAGTGTGACATGAAGTTAACTGAAGTGTGTATCTTCTTGAGAAGAAAACCAGCTGAGACTGATGACAAAATTCAAAAATAGGGAAGTAATAAAACTGTAATCGATGGCACAGCACATGTCCAGCTTCCCAAGGCAGTGCCCAAGTGTCAGAGCATGGAGCTCATGGCCAGTCATGTCCCCAGAGTGCAGGTGGCATCTCTGTTGCTGCAGAATGTACTATCAAGGAAAATGCTCTGGGATCCCTTTTATTTGGTTTCACTTCTTCTAAGATGGTTTGTGGATTTACACAAATTGACTTTATTGCCTGTAACAGATATGCAACAGCATATCTAAGGCTCTCTGAAAAGATGATCCCAAAGTAGGTCATCTGAAATGATAGGAAACAGTCAGAACTGTTCTACTGTGATTCTTTTTTCCTTTTTCCAAAATGATTTGATTTTCTTTTCTAGTCATACTCCAGTAACTTGTGGAATTTGTTACACATTTTACACATTTTAATACAGCTGAGACTTAAGATGTTGGAAGTAGACAATTAGGAGTGAAGCTTCATAAAAACGAGACCTCAAACTGTCTAAGGAGGTACAAATTCACAGTTAATCTAAGTGGGATTTCTATTTAATGTACTACTGAATGTGAAACATGATCCTATATGTGACCATGCTTAGGAGAAAGGTGGCTTTTTCCTTGGATGGGTGTGGCTATTTCCCTTAAATCTTATTTTAATTACTTTATTCTTTTATGCTATGGTGTAATATGGTGCACAAATAGCCTTTTCATAGACTCTTCTCATTGGTGATCAATATTTAGATTCCTTTTGTGCTTAGATGTTACTTTTTTGATACTGAAAATATTTTATTTTTTTTACCTGATTTCACCCTGGAAGCAAAAACTATAGAGAAAACATGATGTTGAGTTTTCTTTTAACCTGCATTTTGCCTCTGCACTCATTAAGCATAAAATATATGACTCCTCGGAACTGTCAGCCATTTAATTTCTTGAGGCCCTCTTGGACATCACCAGACCTGTCGGTGGCATTGTATCATTTCAATGAGCTATTTGTACTGACCGGGTACTTTTGTCACTGTGTCCTGGGAGGATGGGTCCCGTTTATCACATCTGTGTTTAAAGTCCTGCCTCTGTGCTTGGGCAGGAAGCCTGGACATGATGCTGTTCCTGAGTGGTTGCGTTCACAGCGGGTCCATGGTCTCAGGAGGTTTTGTCGTAGAAAGAAGGCTGACATCACATCAGTGACTCCTGGCCAGTGAATTCCCCAAGACCTATGCAAACCACTTAGTCTCTCTGAACCTGGCTACCTTCTCTGAAACACGAGAGGACCTGGACTTGCTACATTTTGGGGGAGAAGGGGCTTGCAGACTTATCAGATTGTGAGCAAAGTACAAGCTCAAGATATACACCTGTCCTGACACTTGCTTATCCAGGGCTTGTATGGCACTGCTGCTTGCCAGTTTGCCAGGTCTTTAACAAAGAGGAAGTTGTTTAATCATCAGGCTACCCTGGAAGGACAATTAATCATCTCCATTGTATAGACACAAAAATGCATGGGCAGAGGCAGCGGTGGGAGGCAGGCCCTGGCTTGTGCCCCTCAGCCAGGTCAGGAGCACTGCTCAAGGGCAGCACTGACCCCTGGGCTGTGCATCCTTTCCCTGGTGGCCTTCAAGAAGGAGCTTGAAATTGCCATAGTGTACAGGCGTCACAGAAATGCACAACTGCCTTCTGTAGTGCTAGGGAATGGCTCAGTCTGTTCTCTGAGCCTCAAATAGAAAATCTTTGACAAAGCCTATGTTTTATTCTTTATAAGATTCTACAGAAAAAGCAGCCCGAGGAAGATGAGGGAGAAACTGGAGATACCTGAGGCCCTGGTTGCAATTAGAGCATGAAAGTAGGTGTTTGGAATCCTTCGTTGCCTGATTACTGATTTTGCTTATGCAGTAAATATAAATTGCTGAGCTAAGCAAAAAGTAATTATAATAGATTCATTCTATCAGAATGCAGCCGAGTTAGACTTATGAGAGCTTTGAACTTGCAGACAAGGCTGTCCCTGGGGCTACCTATCTGACTGCAGCAATGTGCCTGACCCACTTACCAGCTCTAGGCAAGATGGCTTCGAAGTCTCCCAGGGCACAGCCACACACTGAAGCTGAAAGACTTACCTTTGGTAACCTGAGGCTGCTTCCTCAGGCATCTGAAGGCCATGTGTCATCTAATTCACTCTTGCCCATGCTTGCAATTGTCACCTGGGCAGGAGTCACAAGATTCACTGTAATCACTAAAGCCAGAAACCTTAACAATGAAGTGGCAGGGTCTGGTCCTAAGACACACTGTCTGAGGAAGGCAAAGGTCTCCCCAATCCAGGGGCACTTTGTCGATGGAGGACAGATAGTTATAACTGACCAGGGAGTCCCCACAATTTCTCAGGGCCTCTGCGCTTGTGGTGTCTGGAAGCACACACACACACACACACACGCACACACACACACACACACACACACACACACTCACACAAAGGTCTTCTTGGTGTGATTTCAGATCATTCCTCTGGCTGGGTTGGTGCTAGGAAGGAAAGGCACCTGCGTCTAATGGAAATCCTATGTTCTCCCAGAAGGGAGTAGGGAATCTCCCCTCCAAGAGCTCTCCCCTCCATAGTCCACAGGCACACCATCTGACTGCAAAGGGGTGGGGACAGAACTCATGTGAACTGAGGTATGGGACCACCTCCTCTCAGGTGCTGTGGAGACACTTGCAAAAGGTCCAGAAGGCTCACCAACCCTGGAACCATTGGCAGAGTGGCTCCTGGGATGCCTTGGGGTCTGCTGAGCTGTGCCATCTGCGGTTGGCTCACGTGAGACCAAAGACAGTGGGAAGTCGTGAGCAAGAAGCCAGCGCTGCTGCTTCCCCCCAGAATGCAACTCGCATCACAGTGCTGGTCCAGCTTCCTCCCCCTTCTTCCACTTACGTTTTTCTCTTTTTCTCTGAATCCCTTTCTCCATCTTCTTGCATGTTCCGTGTCTACCTTTGGTTCTCTGTGCACACAGTCAGTTTCAGTTCCCATAAAAATCTCACCCCTTGTTTGTGGCTAGCATCGTCTCTAGTAGAGTCCTGTGCATGCTCAGACCCCTTGACTTATCAAGGACTGTGTGTGTCTCTGATGCCCTTAGGAGATTGGTCATCCTCGGTTCATCCTCAGTAGCATATCCACCATGTTTAATTCTATTTTAAAACTTTTCTTCAGAATCACAGTCATAGACAAGTAAGACAGGAAAAGTGAGAAGATTTACTTTAATTTACCTCATTTTGCACCACGGTGTTTTCATGAAACAAGTCAGTTTCATTTTATCCTTGACTCCAGGATCACAATGTTGGCTTCTCCCTTGCTGTGTTACCTTGCTTCTTTGACCCTTTCCTTGGCCTTATTTCCCAGCCATGTCCTTTACATGACAGCCTTCTGATATTCTGTATGGTACCTATAGAAACTAATTTAAAATTCTATTTTTAATTTCCCTCCCTACTCATGGCCTTGACGAGGAATGTATTTTGCTTGCTTGAATGCTAGCCCATCTAGGAATAAGCTGCGTGCCACCTGAAGCTTCACTGTGGATAAGGAGAGAGTGTTTTTGGAATTCCCTGGTAGGACACTGACTTACTGTACCTATCAGTGGCAGCAGCAGAGAGGTACACCTGAGATACATCCATCATTAGCACAGAGCAGCAGTCCACAGCCAGGCACTCCCTTCCCCATCCTTCCTCACAAATTCATAGTCTGAATCTGCAACCAGACCCACTGGGCCTGTCACCATCACGTGCTCATCCTTCACCTGTGTGAAGCCTCCTCTCCACTTCCCACCTTTCTCCAGAACTCTCCATCCTTGTGCTGCTTTGCCTGGTCAATTCAACAGCTTCCCTATACACTCTCAGCTTTCTAAAGCACTTCATACAATTCATAATGCAAAGGCATGGAGCTGTTTTCTCTGGCAAGAGCAGCTGGCTAGATGAGATGAATGCACAGCAATGTTGAGGGCAGTAAGTTTTTACATGACTCTGCCTGTGAAAGATCTCATATGAAGGAATGACAAAGTTGTGACTGCCTTCTAAGAGAGGCAAAGACATGACATGTCCCCATGGAAATGATAACCGTAATCTCTGGGTCGAGATTAATCAGGGGCTTTTTCTTTTGATCAACTTCTTGCTGTGATGGAAAATCATGAACACCTGCACTGTCCTCAGGACAAAGGAAGGTAAGATAAGGAAAACAGTAGCTGTGCTGCCCCTCCGTGACTGTGACACACAGTGTCCTTTAAATGACCTTGACACAGTTACGGGGATTTGTTGGTCTCTGATGAATCTCTTCTCTTTTGCTTGTAGCTCGGGGACCTGCTTCACAAGCTACAGTTTGTCCTGGCCTACGTGGCTCCGTGGCAGATGGCTTGGGGTTCGTCATTCCACGTGTTTGCGCAGCTCTTTGCGATCCCTCATATCCTTTCTTCCTCTGCTTTCACCCCAAGCTCAGATTCCTGTTTTATGGATCTGAGTTCTTCAGTGAACCCATGCAATGAATAGGTTTAAAAATATCTGTGATTCTCTCTTAATGGAGACACAGGGAAGTACTTTGGATCCCCTGTAGACCACTTAGCCTTATAATTTTGAATTCTTCCTGCTTTTGAGAGCTTATTTGGGAATTATTTTAGTTTTTTGTGATTCTTCCATTTCCCATGTTCAGATTTTCACTAAAAAAGATGATCTTACTTGGAAGCTAAGAAAGGAGGATCACTGTGAGTTCAAGGCCAGCCTGAACTACATGGTGAGACCATGCCTGAAAAAAAAAAAAAAAAAAAAAAAAAAGAAAAAAAAAAACAGAAAGAAAAAAAGCTTGTCTTTGGGCTGGAAAGTATCCACTTAAATAATTGGGTTGACTTGTACAAAATAGTACAATTAGATTTTTCATTATTATTACTGTGAATACGGTTGATGCATTCA